ATAATCAGGCGAAACAATGCCATCAATATTGCAATTGTCGAGCACTGGTGCCTACGATAACCCACAGTTTGTTTCAATTGACGGCAACTCCAATCATGTGATCGCCGGTCGGACACGAAGAAAGTCCAGTATTTTGCGGCGACTTTTTGCCAGCGCTGACCGAAGAGAATCCGTTATATCCAATACTGAAGTCTATCCGAAGATTGAGTTCTATAGGAGTTATGACACACTTAGCAAAAAGTCAAAGAGACCCGCAATGGATGAGTTGCATCTGCCTCATTTGGCATCTAACCAGGTATCCATTTCTTTATATTTACTATCATTTATCTTATAATTAATTAAATTACAAATTTTGCACTAAAAGGGTTTTCCTTTTATATTTTTAAAAATTTCACATGTTTTTAATAAAAACTTGGTTCTAAAAAATCTAATATTCTTAAAATTATTCTATATATGTGTTGATTAACAAATACTTGAGATTTTTGGTTAAGAAAGAGAACAATTTGTCAAAAAATATTTCATTAACATTGGATTAAGGTTAAAGTCATGTAAACTAAACGTTATTATTAATAATTAAAAGATAAATTAATTGCTAACAATTAAACTAATGATTTTAATGTTAGTGTTAATTAACATTAAGACAACACTTGTTAATGTCTTGATCTTAAGCGAAAAGTGGAAAGGTAACGATAATATGTTATATAATTCAATGACAAACATTATGACTATAGTTACAAATAGTTTTTGTCTCACATAAAGGCTTATGATGTAAATCCGAGCCTCAATGAGAGGGAAAGGGAGGGGAATGTCATAGAAAACATACAATAAAGCATATGATTAATAGAATGCATTACAACATAAATTGTCGTTAATTTAATTGTCAATCATATGTATTGATATCTATGCTCAACATCTGTCTCCACATTCTTCTTAAGTGTTTACACATTCTTCTCAATACATATCAATCCATATTCTAATGGAATAATAAATAAAATAAAAAACTAAAAACATTTCAAAGAATATTTGCGACAATTTTGACAATTGCTATCATTTATGTCAATAGAGGAATAGCGAGGAATCAGACATTAATGTGAGCGATGGTTTGGCCACTAAATTGGGCTGGGTCGATGGAGTTTATGTATGTATTACCACCAAAAACACACATAACTTACAGTTATATACAGCAAAAAAACCAAATGTTATTTCCATTTGCTATCAATTGATTCATTCATTTGTTTGATGGCATTAATTGATGAATAGATCCGAACAATGATGAATCTCTTCGGGGTTATGCTGTTTCTAAGGATGGGTTGGATGGCCGGACAGGCGGGCATTCGTAAGCAATCAGTTATATTTTGGGCTTTTTTTTGCAACAAAGCCTTCTCTTAATCAACTTTTTTCTTAAAATGCTTTTTCCTTTTAGTGTTAGCCTTAACGCAGATATTGATCGCTACGATAATCACAACAGTGACCACTCTATCAATGATAGCCCTCTGCACTAATGGCAATATAGGCGGTGGGGGTATATATGCTATGATATCGAGGAGTGTTGGACACGAGGCCGGAGGGGTTATCGGCTTTTTGTTTACGTTCACAAATGCAGCTTTCGTTGGACTCAACCTCTTAGGGACAGCCGAAAGTGTTACTAACATTTTTAAAGTATTATTCAATTAAAAATAATTTTTTATCATTATTATTATAATTGTTATATAAAGTAATTATGTTGTAATTAATTGACAGATTTTTGATATCACTATTTGTGGCTCAACACTAAATGATCAAAGAATTGTTGGCTATATTTGTCTTATCATTATTGCCATTATTCCCCTGATTAGTCTTGAATTTGAAGCTAAAGTAAGAAATTGTGGATAAATATGAAAAATATTTCATTTATATAAATGTTTTTTTTGCTAAATTTTTAAAATTTACAAAATAAATGATGTAATTTTCTAAAGCGATAAACTTATCTTCAATTAGTATTACAATAAGTAGTGTACATAAAACATAATGATTAACAAACATTTAAATCTTATTCACAGACATTGATGTTCTTCTTCTTGACACTAATTATATCATTATTGGATTACTTCATCGGAGCCCTACTGTCACCGACAGAGAAACAACTGTCGCTCGGGTTGGCCTCTTGGAAGCCATACGTTATATCCAACAATTTATACCCGCGTTGGGATGGATACGACTTCTTCCAAGTGTTCGGTGTATTCTTCCCGTCAGTGACGGGTATATTCACGGGCGCGAGTATGTCGGCCGACCTTAAAGATCCGGCCACTGCTATACCGAAGGGAACATTTCTGGCCATTGGCACCACTTCTCTCACTTATG